GGCGTAGACGGCGGGGGCGCCGATGACGCCGGCCTTAGCGACGGCCACGAGGGCGGCGAAGACGACGAGCTGTGGAACAGAGAAAGGTGAGACTTCGGCCTTGAGACACTTTCATACAACTTGCATTTTCACTAAGTTATTCTGCTATTGTTAATGGCATTGCGCCAGCGACGGAAACCCAGCCGAAGCGATAAGACCACCAAGAGCTTGCGCCAGCCCTGCGCCCTCCGCATTACTCCACGGCCCCCTCTCGTACCTCAATTAAGCGAATCTCAAACAAGTGGAAAATTTCGCAAACGGCGCTGCTCGCAGAAAATTGCGATGCCTATTTTAAAAGTTACTCCGCTCCAAGAGACCCGAGAGCGCTATTAAACTTATTAATGAATTTTCATTGGCGTCGGAATGGAAAGTGAGCGATGGGTTCACCGCTCGGCCGCGGTGCGTTTTCCCTCTCGCCAAAACAGCTCCCTTGGAGCGCTTACCTTGAAGGCCATGGTTCGATCGGTGGCTGAGGTGCAGTGGCTGTGAATGCTGCTGGTTGCGGGGCAGCGCGTTTATATACACACACTCCGCCCGCCCGGGTAACAGGTTACCGCCCCCCAGGGGCGTGGCGCCAGGGCTGGCCACAGCCACAAGCCACGCGGGCTGCCCCGTCGCTGCCATCACCGCCGCCGCCGCACGCGAACCCCGCCGCCTCGTCCGTTTGCGTCACGCCGCCGCCGCCGCCGCCGCCGCCGCCGCCGCCGCCCCCGCCCCAGCCACCGCACGCGCGCCCGCCCGCCCGACGGAAGTGGCTCGCACGTTCCCTCGATCGCTGCCGATGCCGAGTTCTTTCGTCTGTCCGCCCGCCGCTTCCAGCGTGCAATCATCTCGTCGCCTCATTAGCCGCCCGCCGCGCGTGCGTCGCTCACACGACGCCCGGGATCCGCGCGGGCGCATTCTCATCACTCCGTGCGATTTATATGCGCGGATCTCATCGAGGAATGTGGGCACCTCTAGTAAAATGTTCGACACCGTGCACAGTTCAAAATATATTTAATTAATTTTTAAAATATCATCTTCAATTTTTTTCAACGGTACAATGATTGTACCGTAATAATTATTACTGTGTTCAAAATCACAAAATATCAGTATACTCTACAACTTTCACGAATGAAACACTTTTTTTAAAATTTCTTTCTTACGTCATTAAATAATTAAAATTTCAATTGCATCGCATTAACATTTTATGGTCATGTCGTACATCAATTCTTGCTATTATCAGCTCAAGATTAGAATCTGATGTCTTGCAAAATGCAGAAGTACATAGTATGTTTGTTTCTCGAATTGCAGAATCAAACGGCACTGAGGAATCAGTCAAGTCCCTGACAATCAATCGATGTGTACACTAGTATTACTTCCTCGTGAACACAATTCTGCATTAAGTATTCAAAAGCGTGTAGCTAGTATACACAATAACGCATTCATTCCCCAAACACCATTTAAATTGATCTAATGTCACTGAACAAATTTTGCATTGCAAAAACAGCAAGAGCACATCTGCTCAAATTAAAAGTAACAAAGTCCTAATTATTTCATATTCTAAATTAATATATCTGATTTTCAATCAAGACTGTAATATTCGATCTCCAATGGTCACATCAGACACAAAGCGTTGCTCAATTATTCTTAACAAATAATACAAAGAACTGTTCCACTGGTGTCACAAATCTTTGACATTTGTTGCAGAACCTTGAAAGTTTTCAAAACTCGACGTTTTCACAATTTCAAGATTCTTAGTCACATCTTGAAAGCAAAATTTTCAAGAGAAACATTTAAATACAATATTAACTATTTAACAAAACAAACAATAAACATAAAAGGTTGAAAGGATATTAACAATTAATATTCATAAATTAAATCTTGTGCACGTCAACTTGATATATGTAAATCCTGATAACCGTATTAATGTTGTAATTCATTTGCATACGAAGTAGATGTAGTTGGCACATGTTATAAGAAATGATTTGCAAGTTGTCACTCGAAAGGGAAGGGCACGCTGAAATCTAGAACAAGACTTAGAATACCAGTTTCGATCCATTGCCCACTGTCATCAAGCTTTCTCATTCCATCCTTAATTAAATTAAACTCCGTTTTCATCGTTTGTAATGTATACTTATTGTAATAAGCAGTTTTTGTTTCAGTCCATTTTCAAATGAAACACGGCCAAGATTTGAGAAGTAAAATAACAATTACAGAGAAGGAGGACGGATTCCAACCTCCATGGGGGTTTAGTGTTGAAGGTGCCCAGACAAATACGCTACAGGAATCGTGTGCATTGACGATATGTGGTAGTTCATTATTATCTTCAATCAATAAGATCACCTGGTATCCTAGTGCATTTTTACTCATCGCTGAAGAGACCGACATTTGAAACCGTTTGGGAAATTTTAAATTACAATTTAGTAGTCGAGTTAATACGATACATAATATTAAAACATCAATTCTATCAATTTGAATGTGTAGTAGAAAAGCCAAGTGACATTCGCCAGAGAAGAAATTAATACCAAATTTCTGATTCTACAAAGAGAAAATATTGCGTGTGAAAGTTTTAAAAACAATACATCACGAGACATTCACTGGCGATATTTCCAACTTCCATACGGTTCCACACATGTTTATTCATTTCTACCATTGAATCCCATCTTGTTTATTCCTGAGAAGTCAATCGTTTTACCATCTGCTTTCCTCAGAATTATCATAACAAGTGAGCTTTGTTTAGCAATGAAATATATCCGACGCTCGTTTTTTATCTCTTACCTATTTTCTTAGGTTTCCTTTTATAAAATATAAGATTCGTAATCCATTATTCTAAAGAGTGAATTAAACACTTCTTCATTCGTCTATTAATTATTTAAGTCACGGACTCAAAATACCTTCCAGTTCTGTGTGTAATTGCTCTGAATATGCAGTTAAAATTAAAGATTTAAAATATTACCAGTAACTGGTAAGAGTTTAGCACTCTCCCTACCAATTGCATTAATGTGTTCCCCGATCAGACATTTTTTGTCGACCGATACAATTTTTTTATTAACATTATCGATAATCGCGCTTAGCAAATGTAAATATGTTTATAACTAGCAAGGCAAATTTGATTAATAAATTCTTCTATGATTTACAAAGTCTTATGTATATCGAGGATAAACGTCACAAAATGACACATCGCGGAGATCGGTCTTCTGTGCACATTTGAAGAAGTATATAGTGGACTTGTTCAAAATGGCTTATTATGCCACTACTGAATCACCACCTACATATTGAGTATGCCTCGATATTCATCTTAACAGGCTAATTTGTGGAATTAGTTCTTACTTAAACATAACGGCCTAATTTTTTTGCATATATTAAACCGTTATATATGCAGATATTTTTCATAATACACAAGGTAACCTATCTGTGGTTTCCAACAAGAAAATATATTATGCTAAAAACTGAATACTGATATGACAAGGAACTAGTTACGTGTTTGTCCTCGTGTATGGCGTGAAGACGTACAAACTGGATGAAAGGAAGCTAAAGCGTACACATATGGGGTTTGGAGAACGGGTGAAAAGAATCAAATGGGCAAGATTAGATATTTTCAAATCCGTGAAAAGAAAAAAGACCGATTTTGAAGATAAGAAGAGAACACATGAACTGAAAATAGCTTATTTTTATTCAGAAAGATTACGAATTGCTTTAGAAAGCTATATGTAAGGCAAAAGTAAGGAGGGAAATACAAAAGGATGATTTCGTCCTTAATAATACTAAGTATTTTCGATGTCGACGATTTGGCTAAACATATTTTTATACATTATCTCGAATAATTAAATATGATTTTGTGTGTCTACATTATGTTATAAAAACCCTAAAATTTAATAATCATTGGTTGGTTTTTGTAAAAGTAAGGTGTATCCTTGTAACGGTACCAAATAATATTTACGGTTCCTACAAAACACATTGAAACAGAAATTGTCAACAACTTCGTTTTTCATGAGTTTAGATACTTTTTTATTGCTTAAAATAGCAAAATGTTACATTTATTTACAATTTTGAAATAAAACACAATGATATGTCATATATCTGGCAGAAATAACTATTAGAATACAAAAATTCAATTTCGGAAATTATTGTTCATAATTCCTTGGGATTTCTTATACTAACGACGTTAATGTTGAAAATTACACATAAAACGTAAAAAATAACTTGAAAGAGTTTTTAAAAAACAAAACCAATAACTGAAAATGCAACATGAGCTTTACATAAAACATTCCTCATAATAAAAAGGTTATTTTCAAGTTCAAAGGGCAATACGTTGAGCCACAACGATAGCAGAATACTGATTTTGTAAATAATCTTCCGTGTAATGTACAAGATTGCTTAATTCATCAGAACCCTTTTCCATATATGTGACTATGTGTAGTGTTCGATATCTTCACACTTTCGGGAAATTACCTAGTTTTAATGGGTATGCTCCAGTTTCCAAATACACATGCATGCATTGCAGGAGAACTTAACATCTTTGACAGCAAACGTTACAATTGTGGATCAGAATCTCTCGAATATATGGATGCTTTCACTTTGCGATTATGTGGATAGAAAACGTCCCCCGTTACGAATCCAACGATATCCTTGAAAATATGCATCATTTTAATAATATAATATTAAAATGAAAATATTCCTCATTAAACCTCAATGCCAAGCACAACTTCTATGGCTGTGCGATATCCTCTC